GGGTCGTCAGATCGAGGGGAGGGGGGGGGGTCTGGAAAATGTAACTTGGGACCTGGGAGGCCTGAACTTACATTTTTTTTACTCCCCCCCCCTAGGGTGCGTTGGCAGATCGAAGATACGCCAATCACTAAGAAATTATTTGCGGGTGGGAGTCACTTAATGAAATATTTTCTAAATAAGTAATTAACTAAAAGTATTATTTGGCAACTGTTTGCTGATGCCTCAACACCAAGGAAAACATAGCCTCCAAAAATGCAGGACCAGGACACAGGCGAAAGGTGAGATTTGCAGACGTCAAAAATTGTAACTTACAATTAGTCCACGCATCCAAACCCTCAGATTTTACAGGGAATACATGGGTTCTGTGAGAAAGTTTGACCTCACAAATTGTAACTTACATTTTGGCCACATGCCCAACTCCCCAGAATTTACAAGGAACTGGGGTGTCCCCCTGAGGTACTTACATTTTAGCATACTGAAAAGCACACACGTCCGACCACACGAACCGCAAGCAGGGGGCAAGAAACCAGGGGATCAAACGGCGTTGAATATCATTGTTCTCCTGCCCAATAGAACAGGCAGCCTCTCCTTTATTGTTCTCCATTATTGCTTATTATGTATGGAGTGTGATCGTCTGTTATGTTTGGGTTTCGCTTTGTTGCCTTCCTTTGGGGTCTTCAGTGGGAACATGTATGTTCCTGTTTCTTCGCAGTTTGCTTTGGGTGTGCTTCCTGTTCTTCTTTGTTGATGATGACTCAGACCCACTGCTGTTCCCTCATCTGCTTTGTTTTTGTGTGGCTTGTTGCTGCAGAAGGAGTTGTGTATGGAGTTGTGTATGGAAGACCCCCCGGCCAAAAAGAATTGTAACAAAACAACATATATATATATATTTTTATATTTGTTTTTTCAGTTCAACAAATGCTAATGATGCAGCCGGCCGCGGGCAGCATCATTCAACTTGATGGCTGACGGCTGACATGTTTCGGCAGGCATTTCCTTGAAATGCCGCATTTGACCATGCGGGACGTGGTCGTGAGCAGAAATTAGTGTGGGGATGGGGGGGGGTCTAAAATTGTAAGCGCTCCTCTGTGCCTCAAAATGTAACTTACATTTTTGAGGTCATTCCCCAGGAAATCACCCATGAGGCCTCAAAAATGTAAGTTACCTTTTTTGAGGCCACCTCAAAGTTAATGTAATTACATTTTTTGAGGCCCTGCGCGCAGGAAAATGTAACTTACAATTTTCGACGCCCCCCCTCAGGATAGGGTAGGGATCATATATCACATGATTTGACATGGCAGTGGGTCAAAACCCGGGCACCGTGGTGGACCCCTGAACATGAACAGATTCCTCTAATTATAAGGGATGTCAACCTCCCATGGTTTGGTGGGGGAGGTTTTTTTGACTCACAGCCACATGAGAATCTTAACTCTTCTTGACCGTCCGATGTTTTTCTACACCTGTCGCCGTCGCCAATCAAACTGAGCCCCAACTTATGTTGGTACTGGTAGGGGATTGATGACTAAAGCGAGGATCTAGGAGCTATCGAGTCCGGTGTCTCTAACTTACCAGCGGGTCAGTCAACGCATCTCCAAGTTGTTCTTCTTCCAGCAACAAGGTTGACTGCTAATGAATATATATACACCCCATATCCCCATACGAAGATGTTTGACAATCCATGGTATATCTAGCACATAGTTTTTTGTTAATCAATAGTCAACAGGAAGACCGAAGTGGTGTAGTTACTGGAAGCCACGACTTGCAGCACCAGTGGGCGGCTGCATTGGTTTTCTTGAACAGCTGAGGTAAAGTGCAGCGGCATTTGAAGAACGTTCGCGCAATTCAAAGCACCGATGCTGCCTTTGCAGCCCTGCTTGCAGATGGAAGTGTCATTTGGCTGATCTCAAGGTTTTTTTGTTCACCCATGTTTTGACCCGACCAGACCCGCCAAGACCCGTTGCTGCGCAGGTGGTCACTTGGGGCTTGGAAGACTACGGTGGCAATTCCCAGAAGGCGATTGCGCCGAGTGCGCCGAACGGTTCGCCCCCTCAATCAGCACGGTCTTTTACCCCGCAGTCCGTATAGACAAAGCATGTTCAAAACATGCAACACGGATCTTATGTGCATGTCCAATTCATCTGGAACCACCAATTGTAAAATATTATGAAGTTTTCTCGTAGTTCTGTCCAATTCATCTTGGAATCTCTTGCCCAACAGAAATCCATCCTCGACTGCCTCCTCTGCCTCTTATGGCTCTCTCTACCGTCCCACGGTCCCGCCCCTCCGCACAGGTCCAAGCCCAGCTGCGCTCGGTGACGGCGATCCAAGCCACGGAGTGGTCCTTCGCCGCCCTGCGCCAGGACGGCACCGGGGACCGGGCGACGGAGGAGGATGCGGTTTGTGGGGCGTAACGTGTACACGTACCGTTTTGGGTAGGGTGTGTGTGAGGGTAGGCAGGGGCTGCGCAGTGGGGGAGGAGGATGGAGGAGAGGGTCCGTCCTGGCCTGCTTTCGGGGGAAGGGCCATCCCCTGACACTGCGGAACATGTGATAATATGTTTAACTTATTTATCTTTTCTCCGGGGTACGGTTGCTTAAGCAATCCAAGTTGGCCCCGGAAACGTGGATGTCCCCGCGCAGTCTTGGCGCCACTGTGCGGGGCTTTGGCCGTGTTGGCCGTTTGCTCGTGCGTGTTACTTGTCACGTCCAGGATGGCCAGGTGGTAAGCTGGGGCCACATCACCAACGGTGGCGACAGCAGCGAGGCCAATCACTGGGAGATGGATCGTTCCCCAGATGGTTAGTTGGTTCGGTGGTTGGTTGATGGTGTTGGTGGGTGCATCGATGGGTCGATGGATGGTATAGTGGATTGCTTGTTGGGCCAGGGGACCTGGGGTGTTCATTGGGGATCAACCTATCAATGCTGAGGGACGGTGTTTTCCTGGATGCTCCAGTGGGTTTGGAATGCGATCAGGGTTGCCTTGAAGGAATGACCGCGTACGTTCCCTGTACCCGGCGTGTTATGACATCACGGCCCATGTTACCAGCTAAGCCAGGGGCAAACACTTTGGACAAACCCACCTGTGGGTAATCACGATTCGCAGTGCAAAAGACTCCCGATGGATCCACATAGCCTTTGAGAAGGTAATTAGAGGCACTCTTAGGGTCCAGTCGTACCCTTCTGCAAGAGTCTACAAGTACCTCTATTATGCTGTAACCTCCAACGTTCAGCTGCTCTAATTATTCCGTTTGGATCAACCTCAACCAACCACGACCTACCTAGCCTAGTAGCTTTGTTTTGGTACGCCCATGTTTGCTGAATCTGGTACTGTAGGTGGGGGGGTACCAGTGAGTGCGGAAACTGGAAACCCATGCCTACACCAGATGACCTGCCCAAAACCAGCGGCGTGCCGGACTCGGACCTCGGACTTCGTCTCATCCAGGTGGCCCTCAGTGAGGTGCAGATGATTCAGGCCACGGCCTACGCCTTCGCCGCCATCTCCACAGGCCCGCCGGCTCGCCGGCCGGTTCACGCCGCCAGGTTCACGCGGGTTCACGAGTACGAAGCGCTGACTGTTGGAGGAAGGGTGTGACGTAGCTTGACGTCGTCCGTTTTGTACTGTAGATAGACCTGGAGACTGGAACACTTACCGATATCGCTTAGATATGATCGAACATCAATAATTCTGTCTATATAAATCTGAAACCTGTCGCATGGTGTCACCAAGGGCCACTCACGGCCACTCCAGAGATTCAAAATAGTATCAATTAGAGACACATAGAGACACAAAAGTGTTGCCAAAAAGTTGAGCGATTACGTCGTTTTGTTGATCTGTTGCGTTGCCGTTTCAGGTGGTTCACATAACCGCGTTCGTTTGTGTTTTGTTCTAGTCGTTTGCGCCATGTCACGAAAGCTAGCGAAGCTAGCTGGAGTTACTCTTGCGATAGCAAGGTTTCTTTCGACCGGGTGCAAATCCTAACCCCTGATTTTTCAGGTCGAAGACCCCCCCCCCC